TATTCCAACCCCACACTTAGAGCTTTTATTTGTTCTCGAATAATCTATCATATCCTCTATAGACCTCCATATCAAATTAGGCTAGCTAGACAAGGTCACTCACAAATTCTAGTTCACTTAGCCACTTTGATCATCATCTAAAATTTACTCATTTAAGCACAAGTTTAGCTCAAGACTTATCATGCAAACCTCAAAACTACTAGATTGAATATTTATCACACATATAGGGATAACATGCTACGATAAAACTACTGAAATCATCAAATGAATAGTTTTGACTATTAAGTGCCCTTATAATCAAATAATTGTCAATTTTCTTACTCATAATCAAAATATCATTTCAACCAGGAATGAGCATATCAAATCTCTCACTTTCAGAAAGAAATTAAAGACATAAAAATATACCATAGGCTTGTCAATACTGTACTACAATGTCAAACAAAACATAGAATTATAAAATCACAAAGACTTTAAGTTGTAATGTCGGCTAAGGGACAATAGAAATTATTTGGTTGCAAATAGTAACTACTCTTCTCTTTGCACTCTAAGAAACTGACAAGATCAACATATTTATTTTTCTCACCTTGACCTACATTGTACTTTCAATGATACTTATCTAGGGTGATGCATGATATAATGAAGGGCGTAATACCAACTTTGATTGCTTCAAATCAATCAGGTTTCGTGAAAGGAAGAAGCATATTTGAGAATATTCTACTCACTCAAGAAATTGTTGCACATATCAGATTGAGAGGTAAGGCTGCTAATGTGGTACTAAAACTGGACATGGCTAAGGCATATGATAGAGTATCATGGAGATATTTGATGCATGTGCCAAGGAAAATGAGGTTTGCAGAACACTTTATCACATTAATTAGGAGGTTGATAATGAATAATTGGTATTCAGTTCTAGTGAATGGACAGGCCACTGGATTCTTTCAATCCACCAGAGGAGTGAAACAAGGAGACCCTCTCTCCCCAATCCTCAACAGGAGACACTGCAACATCTTTTCCTTACAGGCCAATTTGCAACGAAAGTGTGGCAGACCTTCAAAAATGCTGTACGTATTCAAATCAACCTGGTGAAAATTCACCAAGTAATCAGAACCTGGTGGAAAATAGATTGTGGGGAGAAATTCAAACCTATTTTACATGCAGTACCAGCTATGATCACTTGGGAATTATGGAAAAGGAGAAACACTATTAGGCATGGTGGAAAGGTGAGTTTCACTAGAGTAATACATGAAGTGAATAACAACTTGTATTTTCTAGCAAGGAGCACGTACCCTTGGCTTAAAAATATTCCTTTCCTCTGGCCTGACCTGGTTACCTTCTTAGAAAAATATAAACCTATTCTGATCACTAAGACCATCTCCTGGAAACTGCCCTGGGAAAATTGGTATAAATGTAATTCTGGCGGTGAATCTAGAGGTAATCCTAGGCCTAGTTCCTATGGATATTGTGTAAGAAATTGGCAAGGAGATCTGGTGTATGCTCAATGTAAAAAATTGGGTCACAAGACCAATGTAGAGGCAGAAGCTAGAGCAATGATGAAAGGCTTAGTGTTTTGTGTTGAGCATGATATACAACCTCTAATACTAGAAACAGATTCAATGATGCTGAAGAATATGGTGGAAGGAAGGTGGGAGACACCATGGTGCATTAGCACCGAAGTAGAGAAGATCGGGAGACTAATGGAGAACTTTAATGTGCTAATACATCATATTTATAGGGAAGGAAACACACTGGCGGATTTTTTAACTAACTTAGCTTTCGATTTTGCAGATACAGCTAAGTTTTCTAATTTTTCTGAATTACCTAGTGCAGGAAGAAGAATTCTAAATCTGGACAAGCAACAAATACCAAATCTCAGAACCAAAAATGCAAAGAACAAATGTTTCAGTGAGGTATGAGAGTGTTTTCTGTAACTCAGAAACTGAGAAGACTTCTAATGGTGGTATTAGCTATGGCTCATTCCATTGAAGGATTATTAGTAGATGAGAAACAGATAATAACATTCACTATACCACAATCATGTAAATCTACTCAACTAAAGGCGATATAAAAAAATGAGTAACAACAGCCGTACAAAGATAGATAACAAGCAGCAAATCAGAGGGTAAACATATCACAGAAATACGAGCACAAGTCATCAAGCACAAGAATATCAGAAGACATAAGGCAGACCCACAACAATCAAAGAAATCCCCAACTGTTCATACAAGATGAATAATGATTTATCAACAAGTTGGGGGTTTATCAATGGAACTCGTGGATTCGTAAAGATCTAACCTACCCCATACAGAAATAAGGAAAATCGAAGATTGCAACTTTACTTGGATGGAAAAGCTGTCTCGTCTGAGATCCTCTCCATGGTTATGGATGCACGGCATCGGTGAGAGCTTTGTGATGCGAAGAAATGATTCCACAACGGAGAGCTCAGCTAAGAAATCCTTTGAAGATCGACATCTCCGGCGTTGTTTTGAGATGCTGTCAAGAACTTTCCTAATTGAAGCAAATTGGAGAATCATTTCAATCTATTCACTTGTAACTTTTTCCTTTTTTGTTTTTTGGTTTTGGTTTCTTTTATTTTATTTTGTGGTATGTTGAACCTTTTTATTTTAATAAAATATATCCACTAAGATCTACTTAGTGATATTAAAAAAAAAATGGTGATGGACTTCATTGTTCTAAGGTTCCTAAAAAATATCTAAACTAAGCTAGTCTTAAAAGTCTAAAAATAAGACCCTAGTCGGTTCAAATATAGCAGTAATACAACCCAAAAGTATAGCTAACTACTTAGAAATCTACAAATATAGCAGTACTACAACCCAAAAGTATCCAAACCAACCCTGTATAAACAAGTATTAGCTCATACAAAAACAACCCACATCATCCTCAAAATGATCAATACAACTCGATAATGAAGAAAACATATAGGGAAATGGAAAGGAATAGACCCTATGACCTTTGGAAAATGCAAAATACAAGAAAATATGATATACAACATATTCTTTTCCACCCCACACTTACATCACATGGGAACTGCTATCTCCTGGTCTAGCCCCTTGGGCTTAAGATGCTCGACCTTCACCTATTGGCAGTTGAGACACTAAGTCACAAACTCGGAGACATCTTTCTTCTTCCCATGACACCAACAAATTTTCTTGAGATCATGATATATCTTGGTCCATCTAGAATGAATAGAATTATAGGAATAATGTGCCTCCGATATAAGCTAATGTTGAAGTGTTGGTCGGAAATTTTTTTTGACCTATTAGGTTGGTTTTTCAAAAATAATTATTCGAAATTTCTGACCTTGGGAGGTTAGTTGTTTGTTACTCATGTGATTGTTTTTTAAAATTACAAAATAATAAAATGCACTATTCGGGGTTCGAGATGCTTATTAGTTAAAGACTTTTTTTAAAAAGAAATATACTCTTTAAATTTTCTTTTAAAATCTGGCCTTTTGAAGTAAATATTTTAAAATGATAACTTTTTGCGAAATTTAACATTCAAAGATCGATTTTTGCAAACAGAAATAGTTAAAAATCAACCTCGGGAGATTAATTCTGCAATCCCAAAGTTTAGCGCTAAAAAACCCAACCTCGATCTCTTTTGAAGTTGATTTTAAGGAGTTTTTAATAGTGTGACTTATGACCGCATTTTTTATGAAAATACTTTCCTTCATAAACAGTACATCCTAAAAGGAGAAAAAGAAAAAGAAAATGTACTTGTAATTTGAGAGTACTTATTTCTTTATGTAATAAGAAAATGCATAATATGAATATCTATATTATCCCTTGGGTTACCCATTTTTTATTCATATCAAATATGAGCAGGTCGGATATTATATCCATTTTTACCCAATTCATTTTCGACCAGTCTGTATGTCACCCCTATTTTCATCCGTCTTTATACTCTCCTTGTGCCTCACTAAGTGCATGATGTTCTATTATTTTGGTTTATATTGATTTGAATACATACAATTCATGAACCTTTTTGTCAAATATCTAAGTTGGTATAATTTATTTAAAATACATTGTAATTTTAAGCAATATTGATTGGTTCAAAAACTAACATACATAGTTAGAAGTTTATTTTTATCTACTATTAACAAGAGCATACTATTTAAAGTTTTTATTTTCCCTTTTCCATATAGTTAGTATGAGAGTATTGAGAGTCTAACTAGATAGTAGTGGTCATTACCTTTGCTCCCTTCCTATAGAGAAGGGCTATGAGTCATAATTTTGTTGGACAAATTGAAATCCACTTGGCATTACCCAAACTATCTTCCCCTTTTCTTTCTCCTCTCTTTCTTCCTCTGTCTATTCTGTTTTCTTCATCCATCTAATTTGATCTCTATGTTTTAATCATGTTGAAACTAAATTCTCCTTAAATCTAATGAAAATAATAATATTCCCTATTCTTTGTACACAATCCATTCCTCAAATTTCACATTCAATTACTTTACCAATTTCTTAAAATGATTAGAGTGTCACATTTCCTCCAAATACTTGTACATTTTTCATGTAACAATCCTAGTCCCATTAATTGGTGATTGTTCATTCTATCTAGATCTTACATAGATCTTTTTTTTGTTTTTGGTGATATTATAATGGTGTACGATATTAGAAGAGATCATATCTTAAAACAAGATTAGGAATCACACATTGTTATGATTATATTATTAATTCTTATATCATAGTACTAGATAGCAATTAAAGTAGTCTCAGAAAATGAAGCATGAAACACATCAAAATCAGATTATCTCAGCAAAACTTTTCAATTCTCAAAGGTATATCCATAGCCTTATTGTGTATTTTCTTTTCTTTGGTTCTGGTTTGGTTATAGGAATATCATTAACCTTCTATCTAAAAGATGTTCCAATCACATTAAAGAAAAAACTATTTACTATCCAACCATCTCCTCCATTAATAGTACCACCAAAATCTCGCCCTCCTCCATCTCCTCCATTGAATCAAGAACAAGGCGTGACGATGAATAATAATATCAAGAGGAAAATCCCGGGTGTTGGTAGAATAGGATTAACAGATTATATTAAGCCTCCTGAAGCAATGCATGATATGATGGATGATGAGTTAATATGGAGAGCTTCAATGGTTCCTAAGGCTAAGATATTCCCATTTAATCGTACCCCAAAGGTCGCGTTTATGTTTCTAGCAAGAGGTAGTTTACCATTAGCACCACTTTGGGAACGATTCTTTAAAGGACATGAAGGACGTTACTCCATTTATATTCATTCTCAACCATCTTTCAAAGGGGATGCACCTGAAGAGGGACCAATTTTTCATGCTCGAAGAGTCCCAAGTAAGGTATGTTACTAATAGTAATTGCAATTATTCATATTTTATGTGTGATCTCGTATGCTGCCTCTATTCATTTTTACTTGTTCATTATTGTAAAAATAGATTTTTCACTTTTATTTGTCACTTTTAACTTATTAAGAAAAGATAATTAAATTTTTTTCCATACTTACCCTTAAAATTAATTGCTCATTCCCAAAATTATTTTTTGCAAGACCTAATAGTAAACATCAATTATAGAGATAGTGTGGTAAAACAGTCATGTCAATTATTGTTTTCTGAATGAGTTTGTCAAGTTCAAATGTAACAAGTAAAAGTGAATTGGACATCATGTGTGGAACACTATTGAGCTATAAGCATTGATCTCACTTTAGTCCTTTAGTGAACCAATATACTTTGTCTTTGGGCTTGAATTGGCCCAGTCTCACTTGTAAGGCCCGTTCATAATGGCCTTCCAAGTGAATTATTGTTCATTTTTTACTTTTATGATGCGACTATTATTTGAAATATGTAACATTTATGATCAATGGATGGAATATTTAATTTGATAATATCTTCTTTATTGAAAAAATATGTAGAGAGTAGATTGGGGAGAATTCAGCATGGTTGATGCAGAACGGAGGTTACTAGCCAACGCGTTACTCGACATGTCAAATGAACGTTTTGTGCTTCTTTCAGAGGCTTGCATTCCCTTATATAATTTCACAACTATCTACACCTACATCATGAACTCCACAAAAACCTTTGTGGAATCCTATGATGAATGGGGTCCCGTTGGACGGGGCCGCTATAATAGTCAAATGACACCATGGGTGACAATCGAGCAATGGAGAAAAGGGTCTCAATGGTTTGAGCTTGATAGAGAGATCGCGCTTGATATGATCACCGATACAAAATTCTTCAATTTATTCAAAGACTTTTGTAGGCCAGCATGTTACTCTGATGAACATTATTTACCAACTTTTGTCACCATGAGATATTGGTGGAAAAATGGTAATAGAACGTTGACTTGGGTTGACTGGACAAAAGGTGGACCCCACCCTACAAAATTTGCTAGAACTGAGGTAACAAGGGAGTTGTTACACCAAATGAGAACTGGAATTCAATGTATGTATAATGGAGAGCCTACAAGTATGTGTTACCTTTTTGCAAGAAAGTTCTTACCTAGTGCATTGGATAGACTTTTAAAGTTTGCTCCTAAGGTCATGATGTTTGGTTGATCAATATTTTATTGTATCGTATCGTATCGTTTTCATAGGGAGGGACTTGTGCCTATAACGAACGGTCAAGTGATTGCAATGGGAATATTGACCTTTCGTTTGATTTGTTTCTTAGATAGGTAATTTAGATGACGCACCGTTTTTCCTAACATTGTTTTTATAAAATTTTGTTGGAGTTAGTTTGGATTAAAAAGAAATAAACCAAAAGAAAATCCAATATGTCATGTAATTCTTTATTTTTTTTTAAATTTTAGTTCGTTATTATTTCTTAGTTGTAGCCTAGTAGGCCCTTGTTTGGTCGGATAGATCCTACCTCATTTTCAATGGGACAATATTGAACAAAAGTTACTTATGTTCTTCTTTTGTTAGTACATTGATTTGTATGTTGTGGATGGAGATAGATTAAATTATATACTGAGAGTTGTTAGATTAATTAAATTCTCCTTGGAGTTGTGTATTAATTATTATTTTTAATATCATGGTGACTCATGTAGGCACATGTATGCCAGGGTATCCAATTGGACACTCTTTGTCGAAAAAAAAACATCGCATATACAAGTAAAATGACACACAAAGTGATTAAATAACATATTTTGGACACCATTGACATAATAAGTTGTTATAGCCTAGTGGTTTAAGATGTCTTGAATGTGTGTGTAGACATTTTTAACGAGTTAGTGCTCGCGTGTTCAAATCTCACTTGGAACAATTTTTCCCTTTTTAAAAAGAGCTTTTGTTGTTTAATTTTTGGACCCTCTTCGTGAAATTCCTGGCTCTGCCACTCCACTGATGGTGAGTGAAAATGTTTTGCTTCTTTTTATTTTGATCAAAAGATTTTCTTTTACATAATTTGCTTTCGGATCTTATATGCACTTTTTTAATCATTTGGCCCTTCGGCCTGTCGCGATCCAAATTACAGGATCGTGCAGTCACCTAGGGTTTTAGATTAATTGATAATGAGGTTCATTGTGGAAAGCATTTTCATGGCCTTCCTTACCATTGAGTGATCAATTAATTTTGTTAGGGATTCACAAGTTAATATACATATATATTTATTTAATTTTCTAATACAAATACAAGATCTACGGAAAACTACTAGGTTAGTCCGAACCTATCAACCCCCACTTAGCTCCGCCTTTATTACCACTCCTTCTCATCTGTTATGATCATGACTCGTCGTGAGTGACACTCACATTAATCCTCCGGTGGAAGTACCAATACCAACCCCAAGCTTAACCATCAGACCTTTTAAAAAGCAAAGTCATGTTATTAAATAGTTAGAAAATTGTTTTAAACAATTATAGACCAAATTCTCATAAACTCGACCAGTCAACAAAACAATTGCGGAATGAACTCCCTAGAACCTGAAAGTCATAGTAGCAAAATATCTAACAAGTCTAGAATATGAGGATGTAACCAGGGGCGGAGGTACACTATGCTCAGGGTGTCCAATTGGACACCCTTCATTAGAAAATTACATCATATATATAAGTAAAATTATACTTTAAATGGTTAAATAAGACATTTTGGACACTCTTAAGCACAGTAAAGTTTCTTAGCTCAGCGGTATCTTTGCCCAACACGAAGGTTTATTAATGCGCGCACGCACAGGTTCGAATCCCAGTTGCTGCATTTTGTTTTTACATTTTCAAAAAGATCCTAATTAATTTCTAATTATAGTTAATAAATCAGTTATATTTTTAATAATTCAAAATTAATATTATCTATTAAAATCTTAATTAGAGACCTAATCATATTTAATAAATATGTTATTTTTTCAACAATTCAAAACTCATATTATCTATTAGAATAATCTCAAATTAGAGACCTACAACTTAAAAATATAACAAAGAAAAAACATAGTAAACAATAATTTTTAATCACTTTTTCTTTTCACTAAAATTTTAAATAAAATTTAAAAGTAATTGTTTAATTTAAATTTAATAAGCAAATTCTATTTTTTTTCTATAAAGCTACTAAAGGTGAAAAAGGCTCTATATAGAATTTCTTTTTAGAAAAACTCGTTTGATTTTACTCTTTATTTTGCATATCTTGTTGTTAATTCACCAAAGGTTGGTGAAATCTTGAAGTATAAAAGTGATTTCATTATAAACTGAATTTTCTCTCTCTTTTTTCTTTTTCGTTCACTTCCTATTAAATAAACATGAAAATTCAAGCTACATTTTATGTGGTTTGATTTTAAAAATTTTAGTATATTTTTTTATTTTAAAAAATTAATTGTTAATGTTACGCAGTTTGATTTCAAAATTTTTGTGCACCCATCGTTAATTTTTATTTTTTTACCTATGCAATTCTTGGACACCCTTCGTGAAATTTCTGGCTAAGTCATTGAATGCAACCCAATCAGAAAGCATAAATCTAAAGTTTAATATGTCTATGTCGAAAAAAGATGGACTCGAAAAAGATAGACAGCGATATAGGTAACTATTCATGGCATCCCGAAAGACGTAGTTCACCATTGAATTCAGATATTGTACATTTCACTACTGAGGTCTCAAACCATCCACCTAAATATGTCGTGTACTAAACAAATTTAGAGAAAATGCAGTATCAATATACAACCAAACTAACTGGTAAGATTATCGGCTAGTTCCACTATATAAAATATAAAGAGGCAACCACAACTTAGTAAGCAGATAATACACAATTACTAACATAAGTACAACATAGCCTAGACTACCAGTCCTTACTCTAAATTGATATGCATAACCAACATGTATCATCACAACACAAAAAGTCAATCTGGTTCTCTCGTGCAACCCATACATACAAATTGTGTAACGATCGGTTTCCGTCGTTATAGCGGGATAGACGCGACTTAAGTCGGAAATAAACCCCAAAACGTCATTATTCTGCAAGTTTCGACTTTGAGAGCTAAGGAACGAACCCAAGTGTTTTCTTGACAACTTTTCACCATTCTTGAGGCTAAAGATAAGGTTTTCACTCTCTGAATCTATTTTTTGATCCGTAGAACTTAATTTCTTGAGGAATTATCGATTGGGGAGGGTTTTGATCTGAGATTTGTGGAAGAAACCCTAAACTGGGTATGGGGATCAAGGGTTTGGCCTAGGGTTGATGATTTCGATTATAATTCAGGTAATTAGGCTTCGTTTATTGATCCTTGCGTTATATTGATTGTTTGTAGACCAAGAATAAGCGGAAAGAATCCGGAAAGGGAAGAATCAAATTTCTTAGGGGATTCAAGCTTTGTTTGAGGTAGGTGATGGTTGTGATTTCATGTTGTGTGATATATGTTTGTACTTGCTTCATTATATTGCAAGTATGTATGCAAATGTTGCATTATTGATCACACTAATCGTAAATGAGTATGAACGAATAACTATATGCCATGAATCACCTCTTAATTGTATGATTATGAGAATGTACATTGTGATTGTATTGTGGTATGTTGAATGGAGCGAGTGTCACGTTTCGACACACTAAATGGGATCGGATGTCACGTACCGACATAAATATTGGAACGGGTGTCACGATCCGACACACTAACTTGGAACGGGTGCCACGATCCGGTACACTAACTGTTTGGGTATGGTTCCATGAGAGGACCAGTGACTTGTTATGCATACATTTATTGTTGAGAGTATGGAATTGTACATTGAACCTGAAATGTTATTGATATTATATATGTTCGATGTATGAATGTTTATGATGTTGTAATGGACTTGCTTATATTGCACTTAGTGGGATAGCTGTGTGATCCTATCAGTACATTGTGGTTGTGTACTGATACTACACTTGCTCTTTCTTTGTTAAGCATAGGGCATCTTCAAGCAATTATTGACAGACCTCGGTTAGAAGATCAATGATCGTCGTCGAATTCAAGGGCGAGCCAGTTCTTCCAGGCTGCCTTGAGTTCTCCTTTTGTTTAGTCTATTTCTTCGGACTTAGACTAGTTCTTCAGATAATTCTCTTGTTTAGTTTGGGTTGTACCCATTTTCGTTCCTTGTTAGAGTTTTGGTACATTGACCTTCAGGTTCTATGCGTTATTTCCGCATTGTTTTAGTATCGAATGTTAGACTTTTGAAGTTTATGGGAAATTCAATTTTCTACATTTAAACCTGCTTCCGTATCTTTAAATGCGTAGTTTTATGGTTAGTTGGGCTGTAGTAATGGTTCTCCCACCGGAGGGTAAGTGTGGGTGTCAATCACGATGGTCTAGGTCGTGACAAATTGTTAGTGTACCGGCGTGGTACCAATTTTCATAGTTAGTATACTGGTGTGGTACTCATTCCCATTGTACTACTGTGGTACCCAGGGGCGGACCTAAAGGTTGCCAAGGGGGTTCACCAAAAATTACATTGTATATTTAAGGTATTTTTAAAAATCTTTATGTCTATGTATTGATTTTGAACCTCCTGAATGTAAGATTAGAGGTTGGCTTAGTGGTTGAGGGGTTCAAAACTCACCTTGAGGTTCCAAGATCAAATCTTAGGCACTACTCTTTTTTGGGCGAACTAAGGATTTCGTGCTTGCAAGGAAGGAAAGAAGACTTCCATCTCCAAGTTTAACTCAGACATTCAATGTATGAATAAAGGGGCTTTTAAGCGCTTCCCTCGTCTTAGAGCTGCGTATTCAATTCGCATAAAAAAAGTGAGAAGGATTTGCTGCCGAATGACTTCGTTGAGGAGAGGCGGAGGTTTGGGATAGTCTATTTGAACAGGGCACATGCATCATGTCTCGCACCAGGACTTCATAGCTGCCAGACACGGTGGGGGTGCATTTCTTGTCCATTAAGACTAGCTTCGGGTTTATCTATCTACGCCATAGAGAGCGAATTAGCACTTCTCAGATCAGGCTTGTCTTTAGAAGTAAATCCCACTAAACTAGACTTGTACACTTGACATGAAAAGTAGAGGCAAGCGGAGTCAAAGGCCGAGCCTCAACCAGCAAAGAAGGTCTAATCATGCTACTTCAGTCGTATGCTTAACACATGCAAGTATGTTAACTGTTCGTATTTC